ACTCTCACACTCACTCACACTCACACTCACACACACACTCACTCTCACATTTACACACACACACAGGTTTAACTTGATTTTGTATATTACAAACAAAAAAATGTTATCACACCTGAGCTGCTTAGATAAAGTCAAAGTTGTTTAATGTAACACAAAGTACAATGAAAGTGATCTGAACGCTCTGTTTAAATGGGCGTGTCTCCTTTAAGATGAGAAAATAAACGCCCACTGCTGTGATTGGCTGACATCTTTACAAAAGAAATAAGTATGATATGTGGGATTCTTTTGAAATCTTTTACTGTCGTTTTGAAGCTTACAGTACATTACAATGAGTTCGTCACATGACCTGTATTTCTTCAGCACTTTACAGTACAGATTGATTCGGAGCAGTACAGCACAGTGATAAACAGGAGAATAACAATATAGCTGTTACAAAACCTTTTCGGCCTTTAAATGAAGAAAAGTCTCCTGAAACCAAAACCACAGCTCATTATGTAGCTGTGTGTGTATTTCTTTGAGTGTATTATCGGTTTGAAGCGCCTCTAGTGATGTGTGTGTGTGTCGTCAGGCGGTCAGTGTCGTGTCAGAGGGGCTGGAGTCGTTCGGCGGTCAGGGATACATTGAGGACACAGGGCTTCCCTCCATGCTGCGCGACGCTCAGGTGAGTGTGTGTGTGTGTGTGTGTGTGTGTGTGTGTGTGTGTGTGTGTGTGTGTGTGTGTGTGTGTGTGTGTGTGTGTGTGTGTGTGTGTGTGTGTGTGTGTGTGTGTGTGTGTGTGTGTGTGTGTGTGTGTGTGTGTGTGTGTGTGTGTGTGTGTGTGTGTGTGTGTGTGTGTGTGTGTGTGTGTGTGTGTTTCAGTTTGATTCCTTATTTTTCACTGTAATTGTTATACAAGTCAAGTGCAAAATAAAAATGTGTGTGTGTTTGGGGAGGGAACCACTAATGTTTTGTCTCTGGATGTTCTCCGCTCCATCGCGAAGTCGTCTGGGTCGGTTCTGCAGGCCTTCTTCACCGACGTCACCGTGAGAACACGCACGCACTAGCGCTTCATGACTCAGAAATGATTATTACTGCCTCAGTGTTGACTGTAATGTGATCCGTACTCTTGAACAGCTGCTGGTGTGTGTGTTTGCAGGAGCGTTTGCTGGTGGCCGAAGCGTCTGCTGCTCTGCGTCCGGCCGTCACATCTCTGCGCACATCGCTCTCGGCTCTGAAGCGTTTCGCTCAGACAGCAGCGGCTCGACCCGCGGGAACTCTGGAGCTGTCAGCGCGAGACCTGGCCTACAGCCTCGCTCGCATTTACATGGGTAAAACACACACACACAACTGGCCTAGAAGTCAAGTCACCTTTATTTATATAACGCTTTTAACAACACAGATTGTGTCAAAGCAACTTTACAGCATTAAATAGTAACACATTAAATCAAGTAAATGTGTTAGTATTAGTAATAGTAAGTATTACTGATCTCAACTGGCCTTAGATTAACACGTTTCTCTAGAAGACTGAATTGATCTAATTTTAACCATGTTTCTCTAAAGTGTTTTTTGCATCTGTAATGTTTTCAATAGGCACTTGAGTGCACCACTAAAACATATTTAACCCGTGTGAACTGTATGTCTGTCTGGGAAAATGTCATCATGTAAGAGATCCAATGAACTGCTGCTGGTGATTGTTCATGTTGTAACTGGTTCGATGAAACAAAATGTTCAAAAGAACGGATTTGTGGAAACTTCTCAGCACTAGACTATGTGTGATATCAGCTGATACTGAGGGAAGAAGAACACAGACGGGTTATAAATCTACCAGATCTTGAATCTGGAAGCACACACACACACACACACACACACACACACTGATCTCTTTTACTTTTTGTCTCGGTGTGTTTGATGGAGAGCAGAGCACTATTAATCACACACCTGCTCCATCACCTCAATGTGTGTGTGTGTGTGTGTGTGTGTGTGTGTGTGTGTGTGTGCGTGGGTGTGTGCGTGCGTGCGTGCGTGCGTGCGTGTGTGTGTGTGTGTGTGTGTGTGACAGGAGCGCTGCTGGTGGATCACGCCACGTGGGAGAACGCAACAAACACCGACATCTACGCCGCTCTCAGGTGTGTGTCAAGTCAAGTCAAGTCAAGTCACCTTTATTTATATAGCGCTTTTAACAATACAGATTGTGTCAAAGCAACTGAACAGCATTAATTAGGAAAATAGTGTCAATAATGCAAAATGACAATAGTAAACACAAATTTTTTCAGTTAAAGACAGTTCATCATTGAATTCAGTGATGTCAACATCCAGCTCAGTTTAAATAGTATCTTTGCAATCAAGTCAACGGTATCGCTGGAAATGAAGTGTCCCCAACTAAGCAAGCCAGAGGCGACAGCGGCATGTGTTCTATGTGTCCTGAGTAACGCGTGTGTTATGAGCCTTGTGTAACGTGTGTGTGTGTGTGTGTGATTCAGGTGGTGTGATCAGGATCTGTGTCCGGTGATCAGTCGAGACGCTGCCGGGTGTTATGATCCACAAACAGCAGCGATGGACACGGCTCTGGTGTACGACGGCCTGCAGCCCTGAGAAAACACACACACACACACACACACTCTCTCACACACTCTCACACACACACACACACACACTCTCTCTCTCTCTCACACACACACACACTGCATACACACACGCTCTCTCACACACACACTCGTATTTGTTGTGGTAAATCACAATGTCTGCCGCTCTGCCGAGGCGTTTGATTGTAGTCGGTTTCACTGTCATGTCAAGAGTTCATGTAGTGTGAATAGTAAAATATATGTAGTGTGTGTGTGTGTGTGAGAGATCTCCTGGAGGAACCCACAGAAACTCTTCAGACGACTGCAATCAGATTCACTTCCGTTCATTCAGAGCTTTGCTGTGAGAATCGGAGAAAGAAAGATCTACTGGCTCACGATGAGAATCCAAATCAAACGCTGACTGTCTGACTGAAGATATAACAAACTCAACTAACTTGTAGGTTAACTAGTTTCAAATGCTGGTTTGTAGTTGATGTCACTTCTTGGGTGTGGCTAATTATTTCTTTATGTGTAACTAAATGATTATGTTTGAACAGATGTGGTGAATGATGATTGTAATTGCTGGCTGCATGAATAAATGGACATGTGTTTGATCTGAGGAGAGTGTGTAGATGTTCAGAGCAGAGCAAACTGCACGCTTCCCACAGTGCTTTGTGTTTGTGGACGGACAGACGCTGCTGTTACATGAGCCATGCGATCGATAAGTGCTCCAGCTTCATCCTCATCAGCCTCCTCTTCCTCTCCTCCTCTAAAGATCGTGTGTGTGACCTTTGGGCTCTTCCGCAGTTCCTTCACAGATTTTACCTTTGTGAGCGCACGCCTCTGACCTTTGACCTGCCGTTAGCACGCAGACGCTTCACCACACATACGTGACGGGAATCATCTCAAACTGATGCTCTCGCTCTGTGTGTTTGTCTGGTCTTCCAGTGCAAAGATTCTTGTTTTCTGAAAAAGGTGTCAAAATGAAGTGCGTTTATGATTCAAACAAGAACAAATATCTGCCGCTGGAGTCAGAAAGCTGAAATGAATTCAAAGGGAAACAAGTTTATTTTTCTGTCCTCGTTGACAGATGTTGTTCTTGTTTTAAGTAGAAAATCATTGTGACCATTTTTTCAGAAAGCAAGACTTAATATCTGCAGCAAATGTATTGATTTAATGACGTTTGTACTGGAAAACATGATTTCATCTGTCACATGATCTGCTGAAGACGACATCAAAACAGCTCAGCTACTCGAATCTCTGCGCTCGTGTGTGTGTGTGTGTGTGTGTGTGTGTGGGTGCGTGCGTGCGTGCGTGTGTGTGTGTGAGAGAGAGAGAGAGACCAGCTTCATCACTGTGTCTGTCACGCGACTCTGTTCCCCTTTCGGGCTCTGTCTTTACATTTATTCTGAAAGATGAAGCTCGCGATTATGGTAAGGGGCATTACATTTCCGACGAGTGCTTGCGGTGTTCGGCCAATCACAATGCACTGCCTCTGAATTTTGACTGAAATGTAACATTGGCTCTGACTTGCATTATAATAAATATTTATTTTTATCTTGTATGCCACTCATGTTTTTTAATAGTGATCAAAAAAATAACAAAGCAAACACAAATAGAAATTCATTTCAATAAACAAATTTAAGAAATAACCAACAAGAAAAACATATTACAGAGAGTATCAATTAGGCATAATAATTAGATTAACAAAACTAAGAAAACTACAGAACAGAATAATCAAAAAATTGTTAGCAAATGTTTAATTAATATATGTTGATAATGTCGGATTATATTATATATATATACAGTGTATATGTGTGTGTGTGTGTGTGTGTGTGTGTGTGTGTGTGTGAACGTTCTTCATCAGGCTCTCAGTAAAGCGCGAGCCCTGCTCTGAACGGAATATAAAGGTCTGAATCATTGATGAAGGTCCTGCTGTAATTCAGTACAGTCTGATAAGATCAGCGTCCGTCTGTCTCTACGAGACCCATCATGAGTCCAGCACCGACGGAAGCCCAGCATTCTGTCAGAAAATGCAGAATCTGGACGCGAGTGTGTTGAGAAACACGTGCTGTATATTAATAGTGTGTGTGTTTCAGGTCATGAGCTCACTTCACTGTCATTGATCAGAATGCTCCAGACCAGCTGAGGCCAAACTCTCTCTCTCTCTCTCTCTCTCTCTCTCTCTCTCTCTCTCTCTCT